CATCTGCAGGGTAAGGGAAATCAACATCCATATGGAGGGAGAGAGCCCAGGCTGGAGCAGTGGGGTGTTAGGAAGGGCAAATGGTGGGGGATCACAGTGAGTAACAGAGAGGAGAGTTGTCGGTGTGGTATACAGGAGGGATCAGATGGGAAAGGGACCTTGGAAGGGAACCAGGGGTTTGCAGGGTAGGAGAGGCGGTGGAAGGGTCACCTAGGGCGGTGGGATATGCAGGGTGAGCCAAGGGCTGAAATTAAACAGATCAACTGGCAGCAGAAAGCAGACCGCAGACAGCAGCAGCACCTACCAGGGGTCCTGTCCCACATGTATCTTCTGGGACACAGATGCTGGAGGCTGGATCTGGTCCTTTCTGCTCCGACTCCTGCTACAGATGAGGCAGCCTTAGACAATGGCTGCTGCTGTGCAACAGGAAAGGGGACACAGGCATCCGCTGGCTCTTTGATGGCTCTGGGTATTGAGGTCACCTCAAAGGCTCTGGACACCTAGAACATCTCTCGTCTTAAAATTCACCTGCTTCTCGCTGGCATGCTTGGGACTCCAAGTCCTTTCCTGTTTTCCATCCTTTAGGGGAAGTGACTTGTCCCCCGATCAAGTTCCTATTGGAGAGTCCTCAGACTTCCCATTGGTAACTTCTGCTTCATGACATCTCATGGAATCCAAGTGGCAGAGTGTCCCATGGGCAGGGACACAAGGGTTCTTTGGTTCTTGGTGGCAGGTAGGTTGTGACTTGGGAATGTGGCACCTGGTCTGCCTTCTCCATCCTGAGTGTCAAGCAGACATCACCAGTTGATCCCAGCACTCCTGACCTCTGGATAGAGCCACAGACAGAGTCCTGAGCAACATAGTTCTCCTTCAGCCGGATGTCCTACTAGTTGGCTTTGGCACTTGGACGGGAGTGACTGGTATTTTCCAAACACGTCTCCTTTCTTTGGAAGAGGGAACACTTGCGACATGTGACTTACCAGGATCTATAAGGTAAGGCAGAGAGTACTGGAATCCAGGGCTGCTGGGCTTCGGCAATCTCTTCCGCAGGTGGGGTGGGGGGATAGATGCTGAGAGCCTTGAGAAGGGGAGGCAGAGATGCCCAATGGTATGCCCAGGGGTTTGCAGCTAGCCCTCATTGAGGTTCTTTGCCTGTCTCCTTAGTTCCAACCTCACATCCGTATCACCAGATCCACAGCCTTGGAGCAGCAGGAGAGAGTCAAGGGGCCAGGGACCATAGGGGCAGCTGCAGCTGAACTGGCAGCAGGAAGCCGCAGCTGGTGGTGCAGGTTAGCGCTGGACCATGCCCAGCTTGGCAGCCCACAGCATTTCCTCCTCTCCTATGTTAACATGGCACTGGCACATAAAGTCACAAGCAACTTCTACTTGGATTTTGCCAACTGGAACCAGATGTCCCACTAGCCATGTCTACCCTGTGGTCTGCACACACCCTGAAATAGCTAAGAATGCATGCAGCCCAACACAAAATTGTGAACTTGCTCAAAATGTTACAAGACTTAGTTGGTGTGTGATTTTGTTGTTGTTGTTACTCAACTGCACAGTTCTCAGGTGTGAACTTTGAAATGACATCATGTCACAGGCTTGGAAACACGTTTTAGTCTTTTTTGCATGGTTGAGTTGAATAGCTCAGATGAGGCTGAAGTCCAGGACTTCTTGCCTCTGCAGCTCAAGAGCATCCTTGGAGTTTTGAGTGGCCTGGAGAGGGAAGAAGACCACACATGCTTCCTGAGGACCTTGTTATAGGGATCTGGCTGGGAAACAGGACAGGCCACTAGGAAAGGTCAGGTACTTCTCTGTCCCAGTAACTGCCAGACATAGGCCTTGGGACAGGTGCTGATGCTAAGTTCCTGTCCACCTTCTGAGGGAATGCAGGAAGCAGGACCTACCTGCCCGGGGTGCGGCCATCACTGGGTGCCACATGGTCACACCGGGAAGATAAGACAAGAGTGTTGACTCTCTCTATGGTCCGATCAGGGGCTGGGTGCACTTTCCAGGAAAACTGGAGAGGGCATACAAAAGCAAACCAAGAGGGCAGAGCCATTGTTCCAGGCAGACATGACTTCTTCTGTGCTACTGAAGATAGCTAGCCTATCCATGTGGCCTGAGCCCAGAGTAAACTGAGCTTTGTTGACAGCCCCGACTACCCTACCTTGATCACACACAGCCATTCACTCTGAGCCAAGAAATCAAGCATGAATGAGGCTTTAGGTCACGGTGGGTAATGAGGTATAGAGGTCCCCTGGGTGATAGTGTTGTGTTCAACTACAGAGGGAAGACTACGGATGAGAAAGCAGCCATTTATTGAGCTTGCTTATCTCACGCCCTTGCAGTTACAAATCCCCCTCTCTGGAATGTTCTTCCAGTCATGATTTCTTTCTTTCTTTGAAATATTTTATTTTTATTATTTTTAGTTGTGTGCATGCGTGTGCAAGCATGTGAGTGCAGGTGCCTGCAGAGGCCAGAAGAGGACATCAGATCCCCCGGAGCTGGAGCTGGAGACTGTAAGGTACCTGACCTGGATACTAGGAACTGAGCTTGGGTTCCCTGCAAGAGGAATGCACACTCTTAACTGCTGAGCCATCTCTCCCGCCCCATCATGGAGTATCTTGAAGGAGGGTGACTTCTGGGTCTGCCCTTGGCATTACACATGACAAACAGAGTGCCAGAAAGCAGAAGGGATTTGACCAAGGTCAGGGTGGTTTAGTGGCAGAGCATGAACTGAGACTTGGAACTGGTCCTGACAGAGTGTCCTCTGGCTGTGAAGTCAAGGCTGGTAGCTGGGACTGGCCAGCTGCAGAGTTGAAAGGATGGCTTTGTGGTCTCCAGGCCTAGTTTGTGGATCCAGAGGTCTCCTGACCTCCAACTAGCCCTGGGGCTGCTTTGGGGAGTCTATGAAGCCAGGCTGAGGCACCCTTCCTAGAACATCCTCTCACAGGAGACCGTTTTCTGCCACCAGCTCTCCCTCCCTCCCATCATGCTCCAAGTTTGGTTACTCAAAAAGTCTACGCACCGCGGCTTGGCATGGAGGCAGTGCTTACAGAGAGGATGCTGCAGTTCATCCCCCCCCCCCCCCCATATTTATGTCAAATTCTCAGGTTCTGGTGGTTTAGGGTTTAGCTCTAGCAGTTTCCAGCACCTGCATACATACCATGATGTACAAAATGGAGTCTCTGCTTGTCAGCTTAAAAACAAACAAACAAATAAATCACACAGCATAAGAGATGACAGTCAAGCTCACCTGCCCTGGCTGGCCCTTCGGGCCCTAGAGAAACAGCATCAACCTGACTTTCTGGAAGCTGCTGTTGACAGTCCTCTGACCTTAGGAGACATTTGCAAAACAAATGGTACTGAGTCCCATCATGTTGGCTGGTACCCAGGAGTAGCACCTCGAGTGGGTAGCTGACTGTCTTCTGTACTGATTCCTTTTGCAGTAACTGTGCTCCAGGCTGGGGATGTGGTTCAGCTGGTAGAGTGCTTGCCTTGCAGGCATGAGGCCCTGGCTTCTACCTCCAGCATGGCATAACACTGGACGCACCTGTAATCTTAGCACTTGGCAGGTAGAGGCAGGAGGTCATTCTTGGCTACTTTGAGAGTTCTAGGACAGCAATGGGCTGCTTGAAGCCTTGGGACCCCTGTCTCAAAAAAAAAATTTGATTGATGAAGATGGATTACATGACCAGGCCGTGCATGAAGTGGTAAAGGGGAGGGTGTTCTTCCCAGTGGGAACAATGACAAGTTATCAAATCTAGAATCTGAAATAGCAAATTTGGGAGCTCCTGTTGAAAACTCGATGACATAAAAGGGAAACAGATGTGAAACTGAAGTTCCCCGGGGGGTGGGGGGGAAGGCTACAACTGTGTTTATAATTGATGAGTGATTAGAACTTCTTGATTGTGGAGAGTTGAAATGTTACAGGTACAGGGTCAACTTGTCTCAGACTTATCTTTAGTCTCCTTGATAATCATTGTTCACTGTGCCTGACCTCACATCCTTGTGATTATTAGGTAAAACCTTTTGCAATTCATTAACTCAGCGGATCCCCAGCTCCACCAACTGGAAAGCGAAAATGTATCAAATAGCATCTCAGACCCAAGCAGAGATTTCTCCTAATTTGCTGTAACCCACTGATGTGATGTTCCCGGGAATATATTTGGAAAATGCCTTGATGTATGCCTTACTTTTGTTGCTACTTACAAACTTCAGGAAAGCACTTCTACTTTGGAACATGTTATTTAAGGCAACCTGACTCTGTGTCCCAAGCCAGGGTCACTCTTACTTGGCTCAGAACAAAATGTCTTTCATCCCCTTTGAGATGAGATCTGTTTTGTGTGGACAGAACTAAGATTCAAGTGAAGGAGCAAGAAAGAGGCTTTGGATGACACTGACCTTGTTGTCACTGGGGCCTCTGGACTTTTCCCCTCTGTATCACCTAACAATTCCCATTTTGCAGAAGCCGGTTTGTGCTGGTCTCTGCCACTACCAACAAAAGTCTACCTATAACAAGGCGTGGCATCCAAGTGGCATGGTTTTCTCAGGCTGGAAGCTTATCTCCCAAGGTCCCCATAACCTCGACTGCTGAGAGGGCAATGGGGAATGGTGTTCACGTTTCAGGACTGGTTTGTTCCCAGGCCTTCCTGGGGCTTACCACTCTGGGCGAGCGAGGATGAATCAGGTCCCATGCTGATACAGAGCTACCCATCTATAGAGGACTTAACGTGCAATCTAGGATCCTGACAAAGGGTGTCTTTTAGGAAAAGGATTCAGAGCTGTTTGCAGAGTCTGAAGGGGACTCTCGGGACCGCAGCTATTCTAGTCCTGGGGCCAAACTATGAAAAATGAGTGTGTGGGGCAGGGCAGGGGGGCCGCAGTCCAACTAGCCCATCTGGGCCTCCCTTTGGAGATTCCAAGATTTAGCTCTCAGGACCCTCAGGGCTTATCAAAGACACGCCTGCAAAGTCTGCGCAGGCGCACTCTCCATGGGCGGAGTCCGACCGCGGGGGCGGGGCCTTCCCGCGCGGGCGGGGCCGCTCCGCGGGTGTGGTTCCCGGCTGTCGCCCGCGTATGAGTGCCGGTATCTTGACCGCCCCGAGGCCCACGAGGCGGGAGGCCCCAGGCACGGCGGAGGGGCAGCGCGGCCCGCTCCCGGCGCGGACTCGGGAGGGAGTCACATCCGGCGGAGGCGGGGCTCGCGGATCCCGGAAGTGCGGGCGGCGGCTGGTTGCCCGCGGTGGCGGCGGCCCCGGCAGGTGAGCGCCGCTGGGGAGGGTCCCGGGCGGCGGCGGGCAGCAGCGGACGGTGCTGGAGGCGTTGCTCAGAGGCCCCTCCGCCTGCCGCCTGCCTGGCCGAGGCCCGCGATTGGGCGCAGTGGGCGCGTGACTCCCCGCGGGCCTGCGCCCCTGCAGCGTGGTGGGAGGGATGGAAGGTGGGAGGCTGTCCTCGCCGGTCGCCTCAGCTCCGCCCCCTCCCACCTATCCGCTAACGCCACGCAGCCCTTTACCCTCTGTAACAGCATCTTGTGGTCAGTATGTCATTAAAGGCCTCTTTGCTCCTTGTACAGATGGAGAAACTGAGGCCAGTGTTGTCTGACTTGCCCCAGCGGCGTAGTGGGGTTGGAGGGACTCTGGCCTTTGACTTGCTGGCCTGTGTCTTTCCCCAGAGTAGCAAGAGGTTGGGGTTCTATTCTTCCCATATCTTCTGAACCCCGACTTGGACTGTCCAGCATGGTCGAGCCGTCCTTGTTCCTGGGCCTTTCAGGTGCAAAGGACAGTGATGTATGTCCCTGGCTCCATGTGCCTGGTTCTCCTTTGTTCCCCCCTCACAGCCGGTTAGGGGTGTTCTTCCACTTCTTGGGTGTGGGAAGGCATTCTCCGAGGATGTGTTTGAGTTACTGGTAGAGTTGACTACATCAGGGTCACAGCTCTTGAGTCCATCCTATACCTTGTCACTCATCCTGGGATTTCCTACCTTGAGCCAGGGAGCCTCACAGAGCCCCAGGTCTCCTTCATTGCTCCTTGTCTCTTATCCAGGAGTCCACTGAAAATGTGCCACTCCACATTCAGTGACTGTCAGCCCTGCAGCTGGAGATGGTGGTGACATAGGGACTTAGGAAGGAAAGATTTTTATTTGGTTGGGGCCCAGGGAGGGACCTGATCTGGGCTGCTGGGTCTGAATACTGGAGTCTTTGTTCTTGGCCGTCATAGTGCCCAGAAAAGCCTTTTTCCAAAGATTATCTTGGAGGTCTGGCCTAGTGCCTTTGTAATTTCCATTAAGTAGAAAACATGATGGATTGCTTCAGTGGGGCAGATTTTTGTTGCTCTTTTGCCAAGCAGTAGTTCTGATTGCTTGTGTGGCTGTCCTTTGCTCGGTACTGCCCTTGGGGTGTTTTGAACATACTGGACAACAGAGAACACCTCTGAGTGACTGGTGATCCCAGTTTACAGAGTTGATGAAATGTTAGGTCACTTGGCTAGTGTCAACAACCAGTGGGTGGCTGGCTGAGTTAGGATTTTTAACCCTCTTGTCTCTTTTCAAAGCAAATGTACCTTTAACTCCTAATACTGCCTTCCAGTTGCCCTAATGTGTTGGAGCTTAAGAATTATCTATGATGTTGAAAATGCAGAGCCCCATTTCTAGAGAGTCTTGTGATGTTATCTGAAGGGGACCCCAGGAGTCTGTTTTTAACACACTGGGTGATTCTGATCTTAATGCAAATTTGTAGATTTTCTGGGCCACTGGAGCTTGGAAGTGAGATGATACTCAAGATTCTTGGTACCTTTTGCTTATTTCTTTGGCATATGCTAATGTGCCATTAGAAGGACTTTGAAATAAATAGACTCATGAATCATTCCTGGACACTGTTGGCTAGTAGTAGTGGGGTTTTTCCAGACTGACCAATGAGGTCATTGAAGACCTGTTAGTGCAGTTATATTGCTATTGTGGGGAATTGTGTTAGAAGTTTCCTCTTGGGATCTGCAGTTTCCAGAAGGTTCTTAACCTGTCCCTGCCCAGCTTGCCCTCTGACACAGATTTCAGTGATGGCCACTGTTTTTAGGTTGAGCAGCCTTTGGAGGCATGGTCCACATATCTCTCCCTCCATTCTCTTCTCTCTATCTGCTTTCCCTAGCTGTCTGGAAGACAGGGACTATCAAACAGGTTTGCCTTGATTGAGCTGGGGCTGACAAGTGAGGCCCTGGGGCTTAGGATGGGCTGGGGAAGGGAGTCTCCACCATGAACTTCAAGACGGGTAACTTCAGCAGGGTAGGCCTGCGCAGTGAAACCCTGTGAATACTTTAACTCCCACAGCGAGGTGTCTCAGCAGGTTCCACAAGCAGCAGAAGGAGCTGACAGGGATTGTGCTGCTACTTTATTCTCCTGCCCATAGCCAGCAACTTCTCATTGGATATCTCTGTGAACGGAGACTTCCTGTGCTGGGTGCTTTTCTTGGTTTCTGTGATAAAATACCTGGACACAGGCAATTGAAAGGAGAAGCCAGCCCCCACCCCCCCCCCCCCCCCCCCCCGCCCCTTCAGAGTTCAGGGCACATACCATTCTTGTAGGGATGTGTTGGTGGCAGGAGCTTGAGGTGGCTCATCCTGCCGCGTTGTTATCAGAAATCAGAGAGTGATGGATGCTGGTGCTCAGCTCATTTTTTCCGGGACCTCAGTTTAAGATGCTGCTCACAGGAAGACCTACCTCAGTTAAGGGAATCTGGATAATCCCTCACAGGCATGCTCAGGGGCGTGTCTCCTTGGTGATCAGAGTGCCTGTCTAGCTGACAAACCATCATGACTACTTCTCATTTTATTGTTTTTAGACTGGGTCTCATGTAGCCCAGACTGGCTTTGACTTGCTGTGTAGCAGAGAGACCTTGAACTTCTCGCCTTCCTGCTTCCACTTCCCCAGTGCTGAGATTACAGGCGTGTCCCACCACACCGGATTTATGTAATGCTTCGTGCATGCTGAATAGGCACTCTACCATCTGAGCCAGGCCTTAATTTGAATTGTTTTAAATTTGCTGTGACCCCTGCTGTGTCCCAGAATTGCTGTGGTGTAGCTTGGTAAATGTTCTCGGGAGACTTGGAAAAACTTGGTTCTGCAGTTGTGTGGAGCATTCAGTGGTCAAGTCCAGCCCGTTGGGAGTGCTGGCTGCTTGTCTTCTGGGCCCTACTGACTTTCTCTTGTTGTCACCGAGAGGGTGTCTGTTACCAGTCTATGGGGTTGAGGGTTCTTCTGCCCTGATCTAATGGAAATGGAGAGCAGACCAAGTGTAGCTTGGGGTGCCTAGCACCCTTCATTCTGAGTATTGTAGCTTTAGGTAAGCGGCCTAGCACCCAGTATATTGTGCTACAGCTCTCAGCCCAGGGTGCAGGGCCCCTCAGCTCTCAGTGTTACTGCTCTGGGCTTTTTCTCAGCAGCAGGAACTAATTAGTAGCTTTTCCTTAAGCTCTCCCAGCAGCGGAGGCGCACAGTCCTTCCACAGTCCCAGCTCTGTCTCTCTTGCCTCTTGTAGTTTCTCTTCTTTCCACAGCTCTTCACCTGCAATTTGCTCCCCGCTGCCCGTCACCCTCCCAGCACGTCCGCAGTCCTTCATCTTTGTCTCAGGCTCTGCCCCTAGCCGGAAGACTCTTCTGCCACCTGCTAGCTGCTGCTGGGTGTGGGAGCTGGCAGCCCCGGGAGTCACCTGTTCTTCATGCAGTCAGCTCAGCTCACTCTACTTTTGGGTGATAAGACTCACGCAAGGAAGATCCTTGGGGCCTATGCTGCAGTGGCATGCAGGGACAGCACAGGGGATCGAGGTTTCCCCGACAGCTGCTAGAGAGAGAGGACAGGTTTCCTTAGCTGGCCAGTCGGTCCCACATGCTCACGAGCTGTCCTGGGTCGGGGCCGGGCTCCTCCCTCACTGGGTTGAGGATTTGCTGCTATGAGGTCCCTTGTGATGAGGTCAGAGTAGTAGCTGTGGACACGGTTATCTGGAGGGCAGCCCCCAACACTGTCGTGGCCTCAAGAAGCCAAGCCTCCCTAAGTAAAGCCTATGATGAGGTAGTGTCTTTGACAGTCACTGGGTCTGGCTTGGGTCTCCTGCAGGAGCTGGTGGCTAGATTGGAGTCTTGGCAGCCATAGGGGTTTTAAAACACTTTGATTGGCAGCTTACAGAATTGCAGAAGTGACTACTTGATGGGCAGCTTGCGTACTTTTCATGAAAATGGGCGATGCTTAAGTCTGCTGTCCCTGGTGACACTTCTGGCCTGGAGGAGGCCACGGTGTTCCTTTCTGACCACCCTTATCTCAAGCTGGGGGCCAGGAAGGATTGACAGTAGCAGTTCCCGTTCTCCTCTGTCCTGCCCAGCCTAGGGCACTTGTCCAAGCTCCACTCTGGGTAATTGCATCTGTGGACTGCTGGCTGGGAAAAAGGGTCTGATGGCTATCAATCAAATCCTGACAGCTTCCATAATTTAAAAGGAAAAGAAAATTAAAGGAAGATCTCTTCTGAAGTTAACATTAACATGCTTTTTTTTTTAAAGACAAGATCTCTCTATATAGCCCTAGCTGTCCTGGAATTCACTATGTAGAATGGCCTTGAACTCCCAGAAATCCATCTGCCTCTGCCTCTTTTTTTTTTTTTTCAAGACAGAGTTTCTCTGTGTAGCTTTGTGCCTTTCCTGGAACTCGCTTTGGAGACCAGGCTGGCCTCAAACTCAGAGATCCGCCTGGCTCTGCCTCCCGAGTGCTGGGATTAAAGGCGAGTGCTGGGATTAAAGGTGTGCGCCACCACCGCCCGGCTGCCTCTGCCTCTTAAAGGCTGGGATTAAAGGGGTGACTCACCACACCTGAAGTCTTGTGTTTTAAAGTTAGGGTTAGTGTGGTTGACCAAGACTGCAGAGGAACCCTGCAACTCAGTAACAAAAGCAGACAATTAGAAAGTGGACGAAGTACTTGGGCAGTATTTCTCCAAAGAATATATGAATGACCAGAAGTCCCT